TGGCACCTTAAAGACTAACCGTTTTATTTGGGCATAAGCTTTCGTGGGTAAAAAACCTCAAGCTTATGCCCAAATAAATCTGTTAGTCTTTAAGGTGCCATTGGATTCCTTGTTGTTTTTGTGGATACAGACTAACATGGCTACCCCCTGATCATATGAACTCTGCTGCAAATGTTCTTAAATGTCTACTCCTACTTTAGCCAGCTAGTCTTAGGTGCATCAGATAGCCTGCCACCACACAGCAGAGAGGTCTGTCCTCTTCGCTGCGGGCAGCTTGGCTTCACTCCCACTACTGCAATGGGAGAGAGCGCGATCACCTTAATTTAGGGCAACTTCTGGTCTCCCTCCACTGAGAGCAATGGCTGATGGCGGCCATTACAAAATAAGGCGAGTTTCTCTAAAGCAGATGTTATGTGCCAGTCTCTGCTTAAGGAGAAACTTTGGTTGCTGAAGAATAACAGCAGAAAAAACAACTGTTCATCCTAAAGAATTAAAAATAAACCACCCAACTACACAATTGCACCAGCTCTACTCAAGATTCACCTCTCTGCTAACTTTTGTGCAGATAGAAAATGCCCAGGGAAATGACCAGGGACAAAAAGCTCTGACAAAGTGCAACTTTTAAAAAAAATTAATTACCTGACAATTAATGGATGAACTCAGAAAATCCACTCAGTACTTACAAAGTAAGTGGTGTTATTTTGGGGAACATACCCTGTACTCTTCAGACTCCGCAAAGAAAACACATCCCTACTCTAAGTGGAAAGTGGTTTTAGATACATTGGACAAGTCTGATACGGTTGGTAGGCTGGGAGGGGGAATGAGAGCCCGATGATTGGGGATGATGTGTACAGTTCAGAGTGCTTTGATAAAGGGGGCAGTGCATGGCAGTGCTATATTCACAGAATAATGGTTGGAGTTTCATTTCTCTGGCACCCAATGTGGGCAAGTCCAAGGACATCTCCGATCCTGATAAGTGGTTTGAAAAATCAAAGCCTCTACCTGGAGAGTGATATTAGCTAAAAACAAAGGCGTGAAATGGGGGAGATGAGCGTCCGTCAGATCTGCCCAGCCTTCCCTAGCAAGAAGAGCTCTAGCAAAATCAGGGATTCAAAACTTAAGGGATAGAAATAAAAAAACACATATTCTCACAAGTAATATTTTTTCCCAAGGTTTGCAGACCACATAAATGTATCCATCAGCTACATCTGGTCACCTCCCATAAATTCATCTTGCTAACCGACTTAAACACTGCAAGGGATTTTGCAAATTCGGGTGTTAAGGATAGATTTACAGCTCCTATTTGCCTTCTTTACAAATGTTTTTAAATATGTAAGAGGGATATTAAAATAATTCCTTGAATACACATTGGCTTTATAGTTCAGGCAGCTGGTATTAATTGTTATTGTCATACGTGGTTCTTAGTGTGCTTTTTTATCGAGATCTCAAAGTGTTTTATAAAGGAGGATCAGAATCATTATCCCATTTTACAGATGGAGAAACTGAGGCCCAGAGATGGGGAAGTGCTACAAATGGATCTTTTTTGCATTTCATTATTCATTCTAAATTGGTGGTTTTTCATGATTTTGTGTGTGTGAAATTTCCAAACAAAAACGAAACCTTTGAGTGACCTCAATTTCACTGCAAAAAAGAAATGAACAAAAAGTGAAATTAGTGATTTCACCTGTTTGTTTCCAAATCAACTATTTCTGCAAACTTCCCCCCTCAGAACAAAAGATCAGGGGACGTGGAATCAGATGAAATGAGACTGTGGACAATTTTGCAAAATAATTAGTTAAAATCCTATCTGCAGTTTCACCCTACTCTGAAAATAACACTATATTTACAACACATTGGACTACCAATATTATCCTCTCCCATGGAGATTACTATTCGGGAGATGCCAGCCATGGCTCTGTAGTTACAGCGGAGTTGAATTTTGCATTTAAAGCAGAGATTCGTGTTCTTTGTATGAAAAACACCCTGTATCCTCAAGAAAGTTGCAGCACTTACTCCGAGTACCAAAAAGAACAAGGAGTCCTTGTGGCACCTTAGGCTTGGTCTACACTACCCCCCTAATTCGAACTAAGGTACGCAACTTCAGCTACGTGAATAACGTAGCTGAAGTCGAAGTACCTTAGTTCGAACTTACCTTGGTCCACACTCGGCAGGCAGGCTCCCCCGTCGACTCCGCGGTACTCCTCTCGCGGAGCTGGAGTACCGCAGTCGACGGCGAGCACTTCCGGGTTCGACTTATCGCGTCCAGACTAGATGCAATAAGTCGAACCCAGAAGTTCGATTGCCAGCCGCCGAACTAGCGGGTAAGTGTAGCCAAGGCCTTTGAGACTAACAAATGTATTTGGGCATAAGCTTTCATGGGCTAAAACCCACTTCATCGGACGCATGGAGTGGAAAATAAAGTAGGAAGATATATACAGAGAGAACATGAAAAAATGGGTGTTGCCATACCAACTATAACAAGACTCATCAATTAATTATCTATAACATCCCACCTTAATTGATGAGTCTCATTATAGTTTTGACATGTTCTACTGGGGGACCAGTCCATTGTGCCAAGAAGTGTCCCTAGTCATATGGGTGGTTTGGATCCTTCTGCTAAACCTCCCTTCCCAAATTGGCCCAGATTCACCCCCACTTTCTGGAGTGAAGCCCAGAAAGTGTGTTTGTGGGGGGGATTCTGGGTCAATTTGGGAAGGGAGGTTTAGCAGCAGGTATTACAACTAAAATTGGAAAAGGTACAGAGAAGGGCAACAAAAATGATTAGGGGGATGGAACAGCTTCCGTATGAGGAGAGATTAAAAAAGACTGGAAAAGAGACAACTAAAGGGGGATATGACTGAGGTCTATAGAATCATGAGTGTTGTGGAGAAACTGAATAGGGAAGTGTTATTTACTCCTTCACATAACACAAGAACTAGTGATCACCCAAAGATATTAATAGGCAGCAGTTTTAAAACAAAGAAAAGAAATTATTTCTTCACACAACACACAGTCAACCTGTGGAACTCATTGCCGGGGGATGTTGTGGAGGCCAAAAGTATAGCTGGGTTCAAAAAAGAATTAGATCAGTTCATGGAGGATGGGTCCACCAATGGCGATTAGCTAAGATGGTCAGGGACGTAACCCCATGCTCTGAATGTCCCTAAGCCAGGGGTAGGCAACCTATGGCACGGGCGCCAAAGGCGGCACGTGAGCTGATTTTCAGTGGCACTCACACTGCCTGGGTCCTGGCCACCGGTCCGGGGGGCTCTGCATTTTAATTTAATGTTAAATGAAGCTTCTTAAACATTTTAAAAACCTCCTTTACTTTACCGACAACAATAGTTTAAGAAAGAGACCTTCTAAAAGCGTTAAAATGTATGACTGGCACGCGACACCTTACATTAGAGTGAATAAATGAAGACTCGGTGCACCACTTCTGAAAGGTTGCCGACCCCTGCCCTAAACCTCTGACTGCCAGAAACTGGGAGTGGGTGACGGGATGGATGACTTGATAAATTGTGCTGTTTTGTTCATTCCCGCTGAAGCACCTGGCATTGGCCTCTGTCAGAAGACAGGATACTTTTGAATCCCTTTGAGCCCCTCCACTTGCTCTCCAGGATGGCTCATTTGAACAAACCGCCTTCAGCCAAATCACTGTTTTCCACCTGGTAAAGAGTCTTGTCTGCTTCCTTCCAGCAATGACCTGACTACACCTGGCTGAGTCCAAGGCTTTCAGACGTGTGCCCTTGGCACTGGCCTTTTAAAACCATCCAATTTGAGGAGTTTAAACAAATAGCTGTTGCTTAGTACGGCTTGGCATTACATTAGGCTGGGATGGTTTCCTATGCTGCCGCGGGCATAAGTGTCATGTGACGAGATTAGGGTTTTACTGCTCTGGTGCCTGTGAATAACTAATTTGGAGCAATTGGCTTGCAGTGACATATGTGAGTTTGATGATATTTCTGTAAGTGTCACGGGAAGCTTGAAGTCCCAACTTTCTGGTGGGTTGGAGGAATCGAATTTTGTCAGCATTAGTGGAGGAGACGGGGGTTCAAAGGGTTAAAATCCTGCCCGTTTATATTGCTGGAGGGTTTACTGGGTAAGGACAAGAAAGAGAACTAGCATTCTTTGCAAGGGGTGTGTGTGTGTGTGTGTGTGTGTGTGTATACGTGTACAAAGCCACTGTCCTGGATGCACTCCAACTGCTCGGCTGTGTGCCATAGTTCCCTGCACTAAGAGCTAGCAGAGAGTCCCCTTCAGTTCAGTTGACCGAGGCCTGTGCTTTTTGGGAATAGGAGGATGGCAGTTACATGCAATTGCCACAGTATATGGCTAGGGTGACCAGAAGTCCTGATTTTTATAGGGACAGTCCTGATTTTTGGGTCTTTTTCTTATACAGGCTCCTATTAC